GGGGGGGAGATACAGATGAGAAAAGAAGGAAGAGAAAAGAAGAGGGGGGAGGAGGAGAACAGGAGGAAAGGAGGAAAGGAAGGAGGAAAGGGAGGAGGAAGGGGGGAGAAGGAACAAGGAGAAGGGGACAAACGTGAAGGGGAGGAAAGGAAGGGTGAAAAGGAGAAGGAGAAACGGAGGAAAGGAAGGAGGGGGAGAAAAGGAGGGGGAGAAAAGGAGGAAAGGGCGCAAAGGAAGGGGGGGGGGGGGGGAGAAGGCAAAAAAGAAGAAGAAGAAAGAAACGGGGAGAGGATGGGAGAAAAGGGGGTGGTCTCACGGCTCGAACAGCTGCAGGAAAGACTAGGGAAGATCTTTTTGTTTTTGTTTTTGTAAGTATTTTACCGCGCTCGCAACTGCATAAGGTCACATGAGCGCGCGGAAGATTTCTGAGTCCAGACCCCAACTGACACGGACGCATCCAAAAGTACAGTCAAACCTGCTCTAGCGGCCACCTGTCCAAGACAACCACCTGTACAGACAGCTACTTCCATTTCCAACCCCCCCCCCCCTCTCCCTCTTCCAACTTTCCGGGTTTTCTTTCTCCTATATGTGTCACGACACAGTGGAATCAGGCATTCGTCAATTTTTGGGCATATGAAGTTATTGGATATCATCATTTGCCTTACTTTTGATGAAAAAAATATCTTTGAAGGAGGTGGGGTCGTCTGGTCTCAGAAGTAGAATTAGCGAGAAAATGGCTGCCAAAACTTGGTGACTTTCACAGCTTTAGAGTCCTTGCAAACTGCAAATTAAATTTTTTTTTGTGCCTTTAATCAACGTTTTCCATAAAATCCACACACAAAAGTGTTTTTGAATGGCCATACAAGGTGTGGAGCCGGAAAATATATATTTCCAAACCGGCCGAAAAATGCTGATTTCTCGGATTTCATTTTTTTTTGGACGAGATCCTGATTTCACCACGTTGCTTCACATATTATTACAATGACACTGTCTTAAACGCCCACCTGTCTAAGATGACCACTTTTTTCATCGATAATTGGGTGGCCGTCTTGGACAATTTCGAAGGCAGCTACCGTTGTTGTTCCAAAAAGTTAAAATGTAGTCAGAGGACGCAATTGCTAATTCTGTTCTAATGGTCTTCCAGATCTTTCACATTTCATTGCATTGGAGGCCAGCATGCCCTATATAATATGTAGTACAAGTGCCATTAATCTAAATTCACAGTTTCTGTTTTCACGAATTTCGTTAATTGTTGAAGAAACCACCGTCTTACCATAACGTTTTCTAATGTGTACAACTTTTATCTACTTAATTCCGTAGTTTCTGCTTGCTTCCTCCGTGATCTTTTTCAATTCTTTAAGAAACCACCGTGTTTTTAGTTTTAATTTGGTAAGAGTTTTACGACACTCCCAGCTACATAAGGCCATGTGAACGCGCTCCAACGTGTTTACATTATGTATTGCAACACGGCAGCTGAAGATATTAAAACTACCCTGCACTCCCTAGCTTTCTAGCAGGTCTGTAATCTGCAATGCCAAGAAGTGATTATGGGACTGACACTGAGCGAGCCAAGAAATCCAAAGCGATGTGAAAGAGGAAAAGGGCGAAAGTTGGGGGGGGGGGGGTGCAAACATCAAAAGGGTATAATGAC